AGGTGTCGCTCTAGAAGAGAATGGCAAAGGTCCTGGAAAGGTGGTGTTCTCTCCATTGAACTGTTTAGATAAATGTCCAGGCGTCGGTGACTCGGATGAGAGACTAACCAGGAACCTCAAGTCGTCCTTCTTCAGCACACCTTTAAGGCTTGACATCATTTTCTCAAATTGTTTTTTGACAAAATTAAAAAATCTCTGAGGACGGATAGTGGGGACTTTGCCCTTTTCAGCTTGTTGGGAAAAAAACTCCATGACCCTGTTAAATGTCAGCACCATATCAAAACAAGGTCTGCCTTCAGTACGAAGACTGTCCCATATGTACATGACGATATCGAAGGCTGCATGTTGAGCCTCCATTTGCCTTCTATGAGGAAGGGGACAATCTCCGCTCTCCTCTGCTATGTTCTGTCTGCACAACCATTTCACGAGAATGTCAGTCACTGCTTCCACAGTACACAGGAACGAGATTTTGGACCGTATCGCCTCGGACGATTCACATTTGTCTGACTCAAAGTTTAAGCTTTTGTGTTTCGGCCAATAACACAAATGCTGGACGTTTACTTTGCCCAAACACCGCGCAGCACAACACACCGTTCGCTGAAGTGACTCTGTGCTGGACAAGCAGCCTCTGACATAAACAGCAGGCTGTGGGAGCCACACGGAGCTGTTGATGATCACAGATTGCATGTTGTGCATCTTGTGTGAAACTTCCCTCCTAAGTAGTGCTGTCAGCTCTTCGTCATCGTCACCGTCACGCCGGTCCTTGGGAACATGAAGCCGTCACCGTCATCGTCACGCCGGTCCTTGGGAACATGAAGCACGTCTGCAAAAATGCCCATCAAAGAACCCCCTTGAAACAGGTCGAGGTCCTTCAACGCTTTGTCCTTGTCAGACAGAGATAGTTTACTGTGCAGAGTATCCTTGAGATTCAGCGTGGTCGTTCTCAAGATATCCGTCGCGAGTGTCTGCACTATTTCTGTCATCAAATCCGACAGTGATGCTCTCACAGTGGAGTCGTAGGTCCCTGCAGCTAATATGCACCACTGCCATGTAGAGAACCTTTCAAAATGTTTAGTGACTATCGCCTGAAGAGCCTCTTGTTTGGGGGTAGAACTGTCCATCTGTGATGAGGTAAATGTGGAGGGGATGTTTTTCTTCTTTGGTGTTTTGTACGGCAGTGTCAGTGCCCCGCTCTTTGCTAATTTATTTAGTTTTCTTCTTGACTCTTGTTCTGAATTTTTCCTCTCCACGGACAGTCAGTCTGCTGATTTGGAGCAGTCTAGACGCTGTCGCTCAATTCTCATGAATGCTTATTATTTCTGTGTCACTTGAAAGGATCAAAGACATCTGATGTAGTGGATAGTGGGACAGAGGAGAAAAGAGGTGAGGTGAGGTGAGGTGAGGTGAGGTGAAGTGAAGTGAGGTGGGCTGGGGTGAGGTTGAGTACTTTCAGTCACTTAAATTACTCAAATACTTACAGTAGTGTTTGTGTATGTAAATTAGTAGAAAAAACAAATCTTGGTAATTGTGGAGGCGTTGTAATTAATTTATTAAAACAAATAAATAATTAATTTTTATTCTTATCAAAGAGCGTTACTTACATTTTTGAATTACAGTTTCTTATCTGGTGTGAATTGGTTGCACCATTTCCTGTATCAGGACTTTGTTGGCTAATGTTAGCTCTGAGGTTATGGCTTTCCATTGACATGACTATAGAAAAAGTTGTAAACAAAATGTTTTATTCAGCAAACAGAATAAATAGGGACTTTGTTCAATGTTTTGTTATGAACTGACTCTGATTTCTTTCCTGGTGCAAAAGGTTTTTGTGTTTCTCTCAACGCGTTTCTGCATTAAACTAGCATTTCTATATAAAACTGTTCTTCAGTTTTTGTACCACATACAGTATCTTGCCTTTATCACAGTTCTTTGGTGGTGATATCAACAGAAATTCTTGCGGCACAACTGACTGGCTTTATTTGAAACAAATCTAAAAGTTCCATTAACACTGACTTATACTGTAGTTTCACATCATTTCAGGAGAGTTTCGACAGGTTTTACCATGTGAGTGTACTTTTCAAATACATCTGGTCTTAATCTGTTAATACTGCCCATCTTTTTAAAATATTTTTAAAATAATATGCAAATCTATTTTTTTTTTCATCTACTCAAACATAAAGATCCATTGGCGCATTTTGTTTAACTAGGTTTAGTCGCTAACGACGCCCATATTTACATTTTGGCTTACGCTAACATTGAGAAAATAAGTCTTGAGGCCCGATCAGTTTTCGTCTAGATGGTGTTGGTTGTTTGTGGTGTTAAGTAGACGACCACAGCATTTCATTATCATCTAGTTTTGTTGATCATCTTTCACAAATAATTGTTTTTAGGGTGAAGTGGTGAAGGAGGACAGAGACCATGAGGAAACTTGACAGATGCTAGGTGTGTGACGTTACATCTATTTGTACCGCAGCGTCAGTACCGAACGTTTGTTACAAATACGTACAAGTGTCCGTGGTAACCATGGTAACACAGAATTGCACTTTGATGTCACACAATCGCTGCTCGGTTCCCTTGAATTCAGCTGTTCGTATCTCACGTTAAACTCTGTCATGACTCACACCAAAAAAAACCGTGAACGTGATCCCATTTATCTGAGTCTTTTTCTTTATCCGATCCCAGACCTTAAAATCTATTTAAATGATCAATTTACACATTTTAAAGGGACACATGGTGGTGTGGGGGTTAGTGTTCTTGCCTCACAGCAGGAAGGTAAGGTTTAAAAATCGGTGATGACTGATTGTCTTTCTTTAGGTTCTACAAATACAGTAGTTTCCACAGACTCACGGTCCAAACATATTTAGGATCAGGTAAACTGACTGCTCTGAACTGGAGGAGCCCACCCTCACCCTGTGGCTGCTGGGATTGGCTCTAGAGCCCCTCCCTCTCAACTCCTAACCAGATTCCCCCCAACCCGTTTAAGTGGAAATAGAATTAAATCCGTCACAAAAAGCAGTTACTTCCTTTTCAACGATAACTTACAAAAAATACAAGAGAATGAAACGTGTTGTTTGTGGTTGGTTATTCCACAGAAACAGCAGTGCTTTTGTATCACGCACCCACACACTGAAACACGGAGGCAGCAAAAAGCGTTCCCTTTTGTGATGTCACCAATTTCCCCGACGGAGAGAAAATAACCTGAGTGTAGGATTCTCTTTTCTTTTTTAAACTCTGTAGTGTACTCTGAATCGCACAAACACACACACACACCCCAACACACTCATTCATACAATAGCGGGTTGTGTAACCCTGACACTTGGTTGTTCTCATACAATAGCGCGTTGTGTAACCCTGACACTTGGTTGTTCAAGTTGCTGCACACTTAAGTGTACCATGTGAAAGATTGAGCAACATCTAGTGGTGAAGCTGTGCGCTCTCTTACAGTTTGATGTACGTCTGTCTAAACGTATCAAAGGCGTTGGACTGTCCTTCAGTTATCAAGTTCAATTACTGTTCACTGTCCTTTGAAACAAAACATCTGATTGGCAGCGCCGACCAGGCTATGAACCGCAGCAGGTTTAAGAATAACTCTGCTGTTTTTCTTGAGCTGCTGTTGAGAAGTGTGGACTGAAGAAAAGTAGGTCACGTGGGCTCTGCTCTGCCAAGGCTTGGCCGCACTGTCAACAGTGGGTGTAACTGGAGAGAGAAAGACTTGCCCTGTTGTAACATTTAACCACAGAGAAGTAAATGATGTCAGGAGCTGGAGAGCAGAGAAACTGAATATTCAACATCTGTTTTTGCTGTTAGAAAAAAAGCAGGGCTCGGTGTGCAGTTCACTAAAGAACGGAATCAAGTGGTTTCACCTAAATATCACGACACCCCAGACGTCGGCTGTAGAGCTTTTATTGAGCACTTTGTGCATCAGAGTTTTTACAGAACAGAGGGGAAAAGACAAAATCAGATAAAAACACATCGTTCACTTTTTGGCCCTTGACATAATGTTAGAATAACTTCATATAAAAACAAAAGACATTATATTATCATTCTAAATAAAAGAATTCTGAGTATATATGGAGAAACAAAAACAAAACAATACCCACATCCTCATAATAAATATATACACAATAAGTACTGCGATATAAAAAAAGACAGATCATATGGATCTTTTAAAAAAAAAGTTTATGTACATGAGAGTTTTTTTTTTCACAAACTCTTTTATATGTGTTATATATACTGAATTTACTGCATGGCAATGGGAGCGTGTGTGTGTGTGTGTGTGTGTGTGTGACCTAGATGTTGTATTGCACTTCCACAACAGATGGGTTCTTACCTGTCCTGGATATTCTCTGACCTATTTAATTCATTTTGACTGACCCAAAGAGAACTAGTCTACAGGGGAAGGTCACTGCGTTACAGAATTATCTGTGTGTGGAGTAACTTAGTTAATACTTAGATAAAGGCCAGTATTTATATTGATCTTGGGAGAGATTCAAACACTTACACTGTCCTAGCCAAATTGTGTGATGACAAAGTTTTACACACTAAATACTGCTATGTTGTTTAGCATTAATACAACAACTGACCGCCGCGGCTCCGTCAGTGATTTGCTGACTTCATTCTGTGTTCAAAAATACCCAACATTACAGACTGTAATCATCAGTGCTACATGGCTTAATATATAAGGTGGGACGTACCAGCTGTTTCTGCAGATAAGAGTCAAATATATGCGTAAAAAATATGCTGCCTGCATAGCATGAGGTATAGCAGCACCACCATTATTATTCGGCACATTTAAAACAAAATCTACAAAAAAAAAGGCACTTAAATTTGAGGCACAACTCATATTGTCACTGACCACGTAGTAAAGGTGGTATTAAAATCAGATATGTCATTTTGTTATTGCTCACACACACATATGGCTGCATTAAAATGAAGCAAAAAAAAAAAAGTTGAATAACTTATTTACATGATTGACACTGTCATCCGTTAAGAGCTATGGCTGCTTCTTTTTTTTTTTTTTTTAGCAGAGTTTGACACTGAACACGGATATTTTTTTCATTACAGGTGAAGTCCTCTTTTTTCTTTTTTTTTTTTCTCGCCGCACATCCACACATGTAAACACCACTTCTCCTGATGTCTCCCTCTGGCTCCACCCATCTCTGTGATGACGTCGCCACTGTGCTGCCCAATCAGATTTCAGTGAGGGTGAGTTTGTACATGCCGCCCAGCTCCTCCATTGTGATCTGGAAGGTGTCTTCATTGGAGTAGTGTTTGATGATGTTGTCGTCCATGTGGACCAGGATACTGTTCAAAGACAGACCAGGGTTAGTGTATCTCTTTATTTGAGTTTCAGTACTATGAACTGAACAGCCACCTGCTGGCAGAACAATGTCACTTTTTAATTGATTACCGAGCCGGTGTCTTGAAAATAGCAGCTTAAATTATAGCGCACAGAAGTTTCAGAGTAAATCCATCGAAAACACTGGATGAGCTTCAGTGGTTTTTAGAAGTGATGTTTTGTGAATGGCAAGTCAGTCCAAGCTTAATTTAAAATGTCTAAAAAAGTCTTCCTCAATCTTAGCATCTTGGAACAATTTTTATTCTTGTTGTTGTCGAATTAAGTTTGCATGGAAGCATGAAAAAAAGGACGTCTGTGTGTTAATACTTCACTAAGTCATAGAAAAATACAGTTAAACAGTTAGGCTAGCCAAAAACGGCTAAACAAAGCAGACACTAGACAAAAAACAGACACGAATGTCTTCAGACAAAAACTTATTACAAAAACAGAAACTGTAACAAACAATCAAACAAACTGTATTTGACATTTATTATTTTAGCTCTACTGCGGGACAAAAAAAAAACCAACGAAATCCTGCTTCTGCATCAAAACAACTAAAATCAAAATGAGACAAAATTATATATATATATATATATATAAATATATATATAAAGAAAATTAATATTTAATATTAATATTAATATTTAAATGTGCGTGACAGACACTCACCCTTTCTTGCATTTCTTATAGACCTTTCCAACCCTTTCCAAAGGCAACTCATATTTCTCTGAAATCTGTGGGAGAAAAAAAACAATAAACTTTAATTCTTTTGACACAAAAATGTACATGTAAAAACCACAAGCAGCGATTTACACACAAGGAAAACTGCAGCTATTTTGCTCCTCGTCCTTTCCAAACACCGTTCACCTGTTTTACCCCTCAACCTGTGCTGCATTAGTCTGAAGTAATCAGACACCTGTCTGTGTTTTTTTTTTCCTTCTCCTTCTCCCTCTCTCCCTCACACTTTCCTCTCACTTCATCTTCTCCCTTTCCTCCTGACACCTCCGGAGGTCTTTTCCCACCCCTCCATTAGCCTCCTCGACCCCTCCGTCTTTCAACTTAATCGTATCCATTTTTGACGCCCACACGCGCTCTCTATGACCACCAGTGTGAAACAGGAACCCCGTGTGCAGCGCACGCCATTAACAGCACAATAAACAACTTACTGCTTCTATCAGGCCTTTCAGCGTGGGATTTTTCAGCATGAGTGCGTCGAACACTTCCTCTGTCTCCTTGCGCACGTACAGCAGCACTGAGTGGTGAAGAGAGAGACAAAGAACAGACGTCAGGACTGAGGCGTGGGTTAGCGCTGATGCTGTATTATCATCAGGTAAAACAGACTGCTGTGTGTGAAATAAAAATACATTTAAAAAAAGAAAAGAAAAAAAGAAAGAAAATATATTTAAAAAGCAAGTGGTCACTAGAAGTCCATGGTGGTGTGTCTTTATTTGTTCTTTTACAAGTAGTTGAGATGTTTGAAATATTACGTAGCAACAATGAAAGTCAAATGAGTCAAACTGACTCCTACGACGAAGAAGAGGGAGGAAGAGGGAGGGGGTCAGGATAGGTTTACAGCAGTAGTTTCCAAAACTTTTTTAGCCACATATTTCCCACATATTTGCTATTGCATTTTTTATCACGTGCACCCCCTAGTGGCAGCTCGCACGCTCCTGGAGGAAATCGCCAGTTTAAAGGTGAAGTGAGGATGAAGTTAGTACAAAAAAAAAGTATTTTGTACAGGTTTTGCATTAATATAAATGACTGCATTATTTATTTCTATTTTTAGTTTTTTTTTTCTACTCTTCCTGTATGTAAAAAATCTCTGCGACATGGTCTGTAAATGTCCCCACGTCCTTCTGCCCTCTCCACTCTGTCTGCCCCTGATCCTCACCTCCTCTGCACTGATGCTTTGGATGGTGAAGAGGAAACTCAGATTTCACAGTTCCTCCACCTTGAGTGACTAAATTCACTCTGTTTCACTTCCATAGACCCCAGGGCGTGGTCTGCAGCGGGTCACACCGTTCGGCTGTGGCCATGGCTAACTGCGTTTAAGAGGAGATTTGAGACGGCAGCAGCAGTGAACACACAGTGTTTGTGCAGTCTTTCTTTGATCAAATCTGCAACGTTTTCAAGTTATGACATCATTTTGGGCGTGGCTTTGCAGTTTCTCCTGGTCTGCGATCCTTCAACCAGGGGTAATGTTTACTCAGGATCTCTTATCACAGTTTACAGCCAGAGTGTGGACGTGAGAAGGTCGTAGAGGAGGAGTTTTGACATCTAAAAAATATTATTATTTCTTGGGGACGTCACTGTTGTTGTTTTGTTTGGCTCTTATCCCATTGTTTTATATCTATTCTGAAACGAAAATATTCTGTTGACGTTTGGGAGGTGCATGTACATATATATATGTGTGTATATATGTATATACTTCCATCCATCCATCCATTTTCATCCGCTTATCCGTTTCCGGGTCGCGGGGGCAGCAGTCGCCACCCAAATCACATTGCACCGGACCAAACCTTCCTGCAGGTGGTGAGTCCACTGGAAGGTACCAACCGCCCTAACCGGGATTCGAACTTGCCCAGGAGGTGAACCCTGGGGTTCCACACCAATGACAGAGACATTGCCTCTGGGCCAAAGCGCCACATGTATATACTTACAAATATAAATATATACATATATACATCTATATACTATATATGAACTATACTACTGTTTTATATACATATATATATATATAAACATAAATATATATGGTATATATTTACATATATACAGACACATGTAAATGCATTATACATGTATGTATATATATATACATATATACATCTATATACTATATATGAACTATACTACTGCTTTATATACATATATAAATATATAAAAAAATATATATAAATAAATACATTTCTGTAGCTCAACATCCTTCACGTCATTTAGGTTCATGTTTTGCCTCTACTATACTACTGTTTTATATACATATATATGTGTATATATATATATATATATATATATATATATATATATATATATATATAAATATACATATCTACAGCTCATCGTTTAGTTTCATGTTTTGCCTCTGGCAGAGTCTTCTCTCTGCCTATGAATAGGATGTGGGCCAAAGGGCATGTGCTTGTTTGCATGTGTGTGCAGGCGGTGATCAGTGGTATTTTGGTGGGTCAGTGGAGGCCTCAGGCACGTGTGTGTGTGTGTTTTGAAAGACCTGGACTGATCACATGGCCCACACAGACAACGTGTGGTGGTGTCGGTGGCGGTGGTGGGTGCCTTCAGCGCCCGACCACATCAAACACACATTTGTTGCACACACTCCAACGCATGGACTGTTAACCCCTAGAAGAGTGCCTCTCACAACGACTCCTGACGATCATGTGAACTTTTATCCTACGCAGACACACTTTCACCCTTCAAGTACCTTTCTTTGGTTCCTCCAGTCTTGCCATCTTGTTTGTAGGAGGCGTGAACTCTTCGTCACTGAAAGGTAATCTCTTCATCCCAGAGCTGCAGTGGACACACAGTCACAGAAGAGTTAAACGCCCTTCTGTAAACAGCTGACAGACTATAAAAAACGTGCAAGCAACCCTAACCCCTCGGGCATTTCTTAGAAACCCACTTCCTGACTCTTCCTAATAAATATCCCTGTCTTTCCTAAGTGCTTTACACTGGTACACATGGTTGTCAGTTAAGTCGCTGGTTAAAGCCATACATATAGCTGGACTGTGCATTTTGTATCCTGTATGTGTAAAAGTTTATTCTGGGATGTCAAATAACACGTTGGTGACATCATTTGGTCGTCCATGTATTTGTGTTCAGTTGGTGTTGGCCGGTTTCAGCCTATCTTCTGTTTGTACAGTGAGACGGGACACGGCACAGACTTTGGCCTGGCCGCCTCGGTGACAGACGCCTGTTACATGTCCAGAGCTACTGGATCAGACGTGTGCATTCACACATACATCTACGCTGGGTGAAGTGTTGGGAAGTTCAAGGATGCATGAGTGGATATTTTAAGTCATTTTAACAAACTGGGCCAGACGACTGACAGTGAAACTCCAGTCACCCCGTGGTGTAACTGGACCATACACTGAACTCTCTCAACTCTTGGTTGTTGTGCGTGTATAATAATAGATGAACTAAATGTGAGATTAGACAAAAACAAAAGTTAAAAATGAGAACTCACTTGTCTTCTGTCTCCTCTGTTGTGAATGGCTGCAAAAGAAAAACAGGCAGAAATTCACTCCAACAGAAAACGTACCACACTTTAAACAAACCTTGAGCAAAACTTGTCTGATTTAGACATTGACAGGATCAATGTAGAGATGTGGCCCAGGCTTTCACCTGGGCCACATGAAATGGACATAATCTGTCTGTACGTGAACCAGGTCTGGTACTTAGGAACGGTCCAAACATTGGTTCTATTTTGTATCAAATGTGGGACAAATATGAAGTCAATAGTCTATGACCCAGATTTAGTCTGTAAATGATTTTACTTTTAACTAAAAAGACAAGTCGAGGAATCCTAAGATGAAGCTTTAAATTTTTTAATTTTTTGGGATCACATTGTTTCCCAAAGACTGGGTCGTGGGTCACAAGAGGGGTTTTTTTTTTGGGTCACCTCACATCATGTTTTCCAGGAGTTTACGAAATAATGTCTATTGACTTGGGTCGCGAAGGTTTGTGACTTTTAAAATATGCGTCCCCAGAAAAAAAATTTGGGAAACACTGCATTAGTCCACATAATATTTTTTTTATAATTTATCTTACTTTAAACTAGTGTGTACTGTATGTTTTCTTCAGTATATAGAACATTACTGATTTTTAAGACAGAATTATTGTACAGTATCTAAGGCTACCATGGTTCAGATATGTGAAAAAAAGTTTAAGTATATGACACCGTCCCAGGTCGTGTATTTAACCACAGAAGTCTTTGCTAATTTTACTTCATAAAAGTAAAGACTGTCGTGTTAAACACACTGAAACAGTCTTTTAATCTAATGATTACTCTACAGTAAAAGTCAGCGCTTGTAAAGCGTGACTTTACAACCGCTGCAGCTCAAACACAGGTCGCTGGCAGCCAACGAGTTCACAGGCAAAAGTCAACAACCAACGTCCAAAACGTTTCCTGTGTCGACCCGTTTACTGCCTCTTTATCAGCCGGAGCAGAGCCTGGTTCACACACAGCAGTTAATCAGCTGCGTGCTTTTATTGTACGTGTGGAAAAGAGAGTGTACAGTTACAGCTGTGGACACCGTGACCGGGGAGCAGATCACGATGAGACGCGCTGATGTTCAGATGAAACGGGGGGGGGGGGGGGTTTTTTTTTTTTAATAAAATTTGGGTTTAATTTTTTTGATTTTAATTTTTTTTGAGTGTTTCTACTAGTGATGTTTCAGGCTGATGTAAACAACAGCAAACATGATGAAATGTAACTTGTAACTCGGGGCATGTGACGAACGAAGTCTTTTAGTCAAATATTTGCTCATTCAGTTACTTAGTTACATTTTTAAAACTATTTTAGTTTTTTTTTCTATTTGACATTGAAAAATATTCAAAATATTCTTAATGAAAACTACATTTTATTTTTATATCATGTAATGTAAACATTTTTTTTTATATATGTCACATTACATTATCTGTCCCACTTGATGAATTTGGAAAATAAAAATACAAAAAGAATTCATGTTCAATTGAAATGAAGTTAGTGTCAATGGTTAATGTAAAAAGCCTTAGTTTCTTGTATAAACCTTTGTATTAAAATCAAAATAGTATTTCTGTTTTATTTGTAGTACTCCTGTACTTAGCAATGCAAATATTTTCTCTGCAAATCTTTTATTCTTGCCATACAAATAGTGATGACAGTTATTGTCTGTTATAACTGATTCATATTTATTCTTAATATATTCTATCCAGCAAAGGTAACATATTTGTAATTTCTCAGAACATTTTTTTCCTTTTCTTTGAAAGCAGCCTTTTTTTCTGAACCTTTTGCCCTGCAGCTTTATTGATTTCATACGCTTCTGTTAATAGAACTCTATTTTGAGCGGGATCCTGGTGAAACGTGGGAGTTTATCAGATACTGATAGTGTGGACACGTACAGTTCAAACAGGTTCAATGTCACTGACAAAAACCAAAAATAACCTCCCGTTTGTCCCTCACAGCCTTAAGGGGAGCGAAGCAAATTCAGACCACGAAAAAGGGGGTCGTGTTATAAGCACAGCGGCCACCAGGGGGCGCTGAACGTCCACAAATAGTTTCTCCGTAGTTCGATATTACTTTTCTTTGTTATCGTTGCTAATATAAATTGAGTGTTTAGTCAAACACGTGTATTCAACTTTCATCTTAAACTGTTAGCCTCTTGTGAAGGACTTCTTAAAGATCATAACTACCCCGGGCCAGGTGGCGGTGTACACCCACCACCCTCTGTGTCATGTGATTTGTTCAACCAGGAAGTTCACAGCTCACCAGTCCATTCCCAGGACGTCATTGATGTTGTTTGTTTATGTCTTTACTACATTTCCTACGCTGTTCCCTTTCATTTCACACCATATTTAACACGTTCTTTAAAACTTCTCCTCAAATCTCCTTCCTCGCCTCTGAGCACGAACGTGTTAGCACTGGTGTCATACTCTGGTTTGTTATGACTTTCTTGTAAATGATTCATCTTATGAGTAAGCAGCTTTAATTACAGCCCTCGGTGCGTAGGACTCGCTGCTTGTTTTTGCCAACTAGCAAACCAGCAGGTCAACCTGACCCAGCTGGTCGTGGGGTGGGCAGAACCTCAGACAAAAAACAAACTGTTTACGGGATGCGGAGGACGCCACACACAGAATTACTAGAACTGGTACCAGAGTGTAATACTCTGGAGGTGCGTGTGTGTGTGTGTGTGTGTCTGTGAGAGTTAATCACATGACGCTGCAGGGTAGAGAAGTGGATGTCGGGGATGAAAAGCACAGGCTGAGTCTCCAGGTCGGCCAACATCTTAAAGATGGTGACGTCGTTGCGTTTCTGGAGGATGGGCACTTTGACATCCACGACTGAGAAAAAAAAAAGTTAAAATTGATGTTAGATTATGTTTGAATAGAAAAAAAAAGTTTCTATAAAACGAGTCAATTAGTTTTATTTGTTGTGATTGTTTTCTGTCTGTGATAATCAGCCATGGAGCCAGAGTTGGTTTGGTTTGGTCTGAGGGCACGGCTGTGCAACAAAACTCTTTACCAGAATTGAGGGCTGTGCAACAAAACTCTTTACCAGAAGAGTTGGAAACAAATTGGAGTGAGAAAATATGAAAAGGTTGAGCCAGTGAGGTTTTTGGAAGAACCGCCAGGATTAGGAACACTCTCTTCCTGTGTCACATTCTCAGGGTAAACCTGTGGGGAGGGGCTAGTGTGTGTGTGTGTGTGTGTGTGTGTGTGTGTGTGCCAAACAGGGACTGGTTGGTTATTGTGTGTAATCAGGTGCCGTACAGTAATTAAATTAATCATCATATATCACTTGCATGTTTGCAGTACATTATCAAAGTACAGTTTCTGTTCACACAATATCACAATATTAAAAAACAAGTTACTCCAAAATGACTCACAGGCCAGGCCGGTGTTCAAGTCGGCCACCTTCCCTTTCCTGCGTGACTGCTTCCTTTCCTCGTCTCGGATCTTCCTCTCCGCTCCCTTGTCACAGAAGACTTTGATCTGGCAGTAGGCGCGGTGGATGGGCTTGTTGCTGCGGTTGTTGTAGCTGTAGGTGTCGATCTGGAGGTTCAGAGGAAGACCCTTCACTCCCTTCTGGGATGAGAAGTCTGTGCTCAGACAGTTGACAGAGATGAAGATCTGTGAAGAGTTGATTAGGAGGAGGGAAAAAAAGGACAAATAAGTCAACGAGGTACAATGTCACCTAATTAACAATAATAATGAAAGGTGCTTAAAATGACAGATGTCTAAAGCAGTGCTCATTAATGTTGTTCAAGTCTCCGAAAATGTATATAGACATCAAGGATGAAACAGAGTAAATATTAAGGTGGAAACAAAATTAGGAGTCCATTCAGCTTAAATGGGTAAAAGCGTTTTTAATACGTTAATTGTGCCATCTCCTGGAGGAGCGGTAGTACTGCACCTTGTTTAAATATACAGTATGTTGTATAACGTTTTTTGTATTAGTGTATTTCCATCATCCCGCGTAGTCATTTTCTGCAGTGATTTAAAAAGTTGTCGTAAATTAAAGGTCGATCTATCGTACTATGACAGAACTACGATGTCAAATCATTACTTTGAAACAAATGGAGAAAAGTAGTAATAATATAGAGCATAACTATAGAACTAGCCTCACATTATTTTAGAACAGTAACTGGACTTTTCTAACAGAAATGCCGACTGTCGATGGCTGCATTTATTATTGATATTTTATCTTTTACTTTTCACGTTTTTACACACAACCTTGAACATTTAATCGTAAAAAGGCTTCACTAAATACTCGAAAATAAAACTGCGTCTCCAAAGCTAAGGCCTGACTCCGTCAACTGTTCTCTGCCTCCCTCTAGTGATTAAATTCAGTAACTACAGCTACCATGACGCAAAGACGCCCCTTGCCGGAGGCTGTCTCCTGTGACTTACAACAAAACTTGACTCAAATATTAGTCAACTGATAACCAGCTTCATATGACAGATCATCCAGGGATGTTGGTCCTGGGTTCAGTAAAGTTAGACAGAACAGAGAACAGCTGTGGGTGTGATGAACCTTTTTATGAGTTTGTGGTTCAGGCATGTGGTGCTTGTTTAGAAAACAGGTTATCATTATGTCAACAAAGAGTGTTTGAAACAGCTACTGAACAAGACCTGAGGGCCGGGGAGCAGATATCACTACACTTGTGTTCGTTACTGTACAGGTCAAGGAGAGGGTCAAGGAGATGATGAGATTAAAAAGAAAGCTTTTTTTGTGTGTCCTATTATAATGGTTGATGGTTTAATGGCAGTTGGAGTTGGTGTTGTTTGAGATGATTCCTCTAAATTGCCCCAGAGTATGTAAATACAAAGGAGGTGCTGCCCTTGGCAAATACACTGCAATTACATATATAATTAAGGCAATCAGCCTAGGGGCAAGTCACACACACACACACACATTTCATCTTTAGCCTCAACGATTAAACACTAGAACAAACTGGTGGGCGGTAATTCCAAAAACACACACTGTGAGGAGAGGAACGCACAAGGATGAACATCCTATGGACACAGGCCTCCAGTCATGAGACAGTTGGACCCACATCCTGTTGTGTTTGTGTGAGTGTGTACACAGAGCAGAGCACTGCAGCTTCTTTGTCTCTCTCTCTCTCTCTCTCTCTCTGTTTGTTGGGTCTGATGGTGAAGCATTGTTTCCGTGAACGGTTAAAAGAAAGGCGATTGTGGAGGAGAGAGCTGTAGCGCCTCCCTTCTGTCACTCATTTAGACAGAGTTCATCTGTTGACTGACCATCTCAGTCTTCACCCCCTTCTCCTCCTGCTGAGTTTCCTCATTCCTACAGCCTTTGTCACTGCTGCGTCTTGTACAGACGTAGATTAATGTGTGTGTGTAATGTGTGACGTTACTATAGCGTTACTAAGAGGCAGGTCGGACCAGTTAAGACTCAGAGCAGAGTCAGGAAAAACAAACAGTGAACAAATGAAAAAGTCAGAGAACTCCTCTTTCAGAGAGATGTTCTTTCCTTCTAATTTCCTTCATCACACACGAGAAAATAGTTAGTTCTTTCCTCCCAATTTCCTTCATCACACACGAGAAAATAAAACAGGAATGTCCCTTTATGTCAAGGGCCTTAAATAACTATATCATATCAACTACTAATAAAAGCTACAGTGCTCTGTAAGGGGGATTTTTCCTAAGAGGCAGCCATCTTGTTTTATAATTTTCACAATTGTAACGCATTTCTATTTTGTTGTTGTACTGTTGCACACACATGTAACTGAGAATAACTGCTAAATATTTTTGGCATATTGAAAGCCGTGTTAGACTTGAAGCGTACTGAAAATACTTTAGCATGCTAGTTAGCAATATGTGCTACACTAACGATTTTAAAAGCTTTGTAGATTTAATAAATGCTTAACATTATATGACACAGTGAATTCTGTGGCTTTGGCTGTTTGAGAGTGGACCGTGACACTAGCTCCGCTAACGCTATTGCTTCTAATCCCAGCCCAAAGCTAGGAAGGCGAGTTAGCTAGCTGTGAGCCACAGAGCTTATAACAACCCTGCTCTTTAATGCATACATAATAATCAAATTTGGAGGCTGCTAATTGCTTGAGCATTGTCGACTTTGAATGTTAAAATGAATCAATAAAATATCAGCTAAGCTAATATGTAACGTGTTTATAATACCCAGGCTAACAGAATCTGAAACGACAAACCTTTTAATGTTTATAAATGACGTTCGCTTTAAATCAAAGACTTAAAGATCGAATCAGTCAGCTGTACAGTACATATTGGTAAATGTGTGATTGTCATCATTTCTTACCTTGGCTTCCTCATTTGTATCCCAGGTGAAAGAAATGGCATTGTAGGAAATCTCTTCGATATTACCGATAGTGTTGAAACTCTCTTTGTAATCGGCTGAAACATCAAACAGATAAGTGTTGTCGTTATATACAAACACAATAAAGTCAATGTCAGCACAAAGACACTCTGAATATTTAAACAGTGATTAACAGAGGCTTCTGTAGCACAGAAAACAACGACATCTTTAGCCATGTAGCCAAGTTGTTTCAAAAAGTGTTAGCTTATAGCATTCAAAAGTGAAGATGACAGATTACAGTTTAGTAAAGGGTTAACTACGAAATATTGCTAACATCAATATCCTAGTGTTAGCTGAGGTTTAAACATAAAAAAGACAAAAAAACAAACAATCGAAACATATTCAAAATACTTCAAATGTAAAATGTATCCACAAATCACTCCAGTAAAACCTAAAACATAGATGAATGTGTTTTTTTAAATAAGATTTCTAAAAATGTTAGTTGGCCAAAATACGTGTCCAAATATGTGACCACAGACAAACTGTGGTAAAGGTATGATAAAAAAGAGCTAAAAGTTAGAAAAATAAAAGCTTAATCTAAAAGTTAGCCAAAAGATTCAATCCGTTTGATTAGAAGCTAAAAAGAAAAACTTTGAGCCAAAAAAAAAAAACCACGTCATGTCTCAAAGTGACCATTCTCCCCTGGTTCCACTATTTCTTACCGATGTCGAGACACCTCTGTTTGGCAGTGTGCTGTCTGGAGTGCCAGTACTTCCAGTGTTTCAGCTGATCATCTCTGCACTTCTCCTCCCCAAACACAACCATCACCACACTCTGAAAACCACAGTTTCCATAACATTTATTTTGAGTCTTTTAATGGATGAAGACTAAAGAGTTACAGTGTAGGTTTATCACTAAATCCTCTTCGTTCTCTTACCCTGACTTTGGTGATTGGCTGTTGCAACCCTTTGTTGTCAATCTCCCTGAGGGTGATGGGATAAAACTGCCCCTTGTTGAGGTACGTCATTGTTCCGTCCCCTGTCTTCTGACGCAGAGACTTGGACGCCTCCAGAGTGTATTCGAAATTATTCCTACGAGCCAAAAAAGAGAAAGCAAAATATCATGAATTTCTAAATAAAACCACATGGTTTTCTCAAAAAAAAAACCAAAAAAAAAACCGCATATGATACGTGTCTCTTTGTGTGAGGGATAACACGCCAGCTTTTAAGACACAATAATTTAAGTGGGATTACACTTCTGAGAATAACACTTAATAGGGCACACTTCATTCACTTCAGGTTAAATAGTGACAGTGAAGACATCGGGGCCGAGGAACGCCTGTGTGCGCAGACTCTCGTCTTTCACATAAGCGGGAGTCTGGTGTCTCCCCAGTGACTGCCATGAATGAGGCCATTCTACAGTGAGGTGTCACAAAACTGAATCAAGAGTGTAGCTGTGGAAGTGGATCAGTAGGCCATCAGCAGCAGCAGCAGCAGCAGCAGCAGCAGCAGCAGCAGCAGCAGCAGTACAACCTACCCTGGCACCGGGTTGAACTGAGTGTAGTCCTCGGGCGTAATGGGGGCCATGCGTAACTGGAGATCTCCTGGGAAGGAAAACACCTGCAACACACAAAGAAAACACGAGCATGAAGTCAGACCCAGGAAACGGATGAAAATAAACAACTGTAGGTGCTGCAGTTTTTTTTTTGTTTTTATTTTGAGGCTTTTTACTGGAACGTCCCGCCAGGATTTTCCTCTCTCACGTTTTGTCCCTGTTGCCCTGCCATATTAATCTGCCCTTTAACTCTCTTTGTTTTTTTAAATGTGAGAACTCATTGTTGCCAACCACCCCTTATCTTACAGAAGGTTGATTGGGTGACGCTTTAATAAGGTAATACACCTCCTGGTTTGCCAGAGAAAGAAGAAGGAGAAAGGGCTTTGGCTATTGTACGGGAAAGGTACAGCACTTTATTGTGTTGCTGAGACAATGACATAATAACACACTAGCCACTGTTTTGGCATTTTCAAATAAAACCAAGGAAGACTGAGCCCACCACGGGCTCCATGGGATCAGGTGAATTTCCCATTGTCTGCTGGGAAAGTTCTGAGAAGGACAGTGGAAAGTGGAGGAGAGGAGGGACGGAGGGAGGGAGGAAGGCAGTGGTGGGATTTTTAAAGACAGACGGGATTGGAAACACTCACCTCCTGGGAACTGTCCTTGTAACCCTCGGAGAAGGTGGAGTCGGGCGGCGTGCGGGACTGAGTGCTGGGGCTGAACTGGACCGTGCTGTGGTTGAGCTGGCGGTCAAAGACGCTCACGTGGTTGTCGGCGTCCGTGCAGTTGTTCGGCACTGTCACCGAGAAGCCGTGAGAGGGAACCTCTGTTTTGACAGACGTGTAGTTTGGCATGGCCGCAATGGAGACTGTGACCGTGGTGTCTAAGGAAAACAGGGGGGAAAAAAGAATGAATAAAACATTCTGAACATTTGAACATGTCTGTAATGTTGTATGAACTGGTTCTAGTGCTATGTCTTATTTTCTTTAAAATAATCATATTATATAAAGGCTTATGTTGGACTGAACTGATGTTAGTGTTTACTAATAGACATTTACATTTGTGGGAAGAAAGATTGCACGGCAGGGGTCACCAACCATATTTGTCGGGGGCGGCATAATTTTTGTGGACAGACACCTTGTGGGTCTGGACACTCAATTACACTCAAATGAAGTAAAATTATTATTGGATGTTTATTTTGAAATCTAGTCATGGGCCAGATTTGGCCCATGGGCCACTAGTTGATGATCACTGCCCTAGTGATTGTGGATCTCCTTTTGAAAATGTCTTGTCTGTATAGTGTAATCCTACAATGTCCCACCTGTTGTTGTACAGCACCACTGAACGTGGAGCTCTGTGCTATATTTGGCCCAAACAGCTTTATTGTTATTAGAGCCAGTGCTGAGTGTTGGTAATGGTTGACTAGAGGACTAGAGGTTGACTGTTCTGTGTCTCCAGACCTGGTGAAGGGAACTGGGTCCTCTTGTCCTGGGCCAGCTGGAGGATATTGAAGGGTCCTTTCAGGACCTGGATTCTGCCCTCCATACCAGTTTCCTGCAGCGGAGAGATGTTATGTCCAGGCTGAATCTGGTTCCTGTTGCTAAAAGAACAAACAAACAGAATAGATCAAGTTATGTATTCATATATATAAGTACTAAGACCTACTAAAGTAGGTACTAAAGTACTAAAGTACCTAGTACTTTAGTACTAGGATATAAAAGTATTTAATTACTGTAATAAACACGTCCTATTTCAGTGACAATCGCTGAATTTTAAAAAATTTTGGTTAAAAAAGTAACACCATTTTTACTCAACCCTCAACCTCCTAAACAGTTTTTGAGTTTCTGTGACTTTTTTGTGAAAGAAATATGCTCTTCTAACAGCAATAGATGTGACTCTTTTGTGAGTAAATATGCTCTTCTAACAGCAATAGATGTGCAAAAAAAAAATTAATTTAATTTTAAAATTACATTAAATGACTGCTCCATCACCTGTTTTTGTTTTTCACCTCTATTACACATTGTAAATCCCCTCAGAGAACAGAGAACAAATGAACGTTGGAGAGCGTCACTGACTTCTCCAACCTCCTGCTGTGTCTTTATTGTTCCAGGGTGGGGAAGGGGTTGTTGGGGAGATGACGGTGGGGGTATGAAAGGATGGCTGCGGCTCACCTTTTGTTTGGATCCACATCTGAGACCATTGCTTCTGGCTTGTTCTGGGGCATTCTCTTCTCTCTGGGCACCTGTATGAGAAGGTAAACACAGCCGCTCAGCGTCTGACCACATCACATCCACCCGCTCACATCATCCTGCCGTCTTTATGGATCAATTACATGACATACGCTGGGCCGAGTACAACATCCGTGTAGATCACGGTCATGGACTGTCCTGAGTTTAAAAATATTTGATTCCTGTGACCCCAACTCTCAAAATTGAAGTTTGTAATTGCTTAAAATTATATTTTTTTCAGTGTGACTTGGATGTTTAAAACGATTTACACTATATAAGGGCTAAGTCAACGCTAAAGGCTACGTCAAAGCTACGTAGGCTATGCTATCTATTTCCACTGCAGTTTATCAGCCAAATATATTGAGTAATTTGCTACTTTTTGCTTTTTATCTATTTTTACACAATTCTATATTTTACATTTTTGATGCAACATTTACCTTTTTCTAGAATAACGTTTTTTCTGGCTAATCTTATTGTTGTTGGGTTTTTTTTGCCAATTTTATGTCAAAATGTCCTTAAAAGGCAAGACTTTTATTCTCTTACAATTTCTACTTGCTGTATTGGAATTTTTTTTTTTTTAAATACTTGACTAGTACTGGGAACAAACTACCACCACAACAAAAGTCAACTTGAAATATGAATATTTTTAAACCCAGGTAAAAAAAAACTCTGATGTTTATGGTTGAGATTTTATAATTTCTTTAAGTCTATTTAACAAAAATGTTGCTATTTTTCTTTCAATTTTCAACAAGCCGAGTTAAACTCAATTCTTAACTGGACTTCTTTGCTCTGCCCTACATTAAATTAGAGATGGTGAAACGGTGCATTTTTTGTTATGTATTATTAGATAATCAAAGGACGTTTGGTTTTGAACCTTGTAGTAGTCGTAGAGAAGACCCAGAGCCGCGGCGCTGTCGTCATCGCCATTGATGCTCATCATGGCCTTGGTGGCAGCTGTCAGTGGGTTCTCCAGGAAGGATTTCCAGGCTTCATCCTCTGTGGTGAAGCGACGCTGGCCTCCGTAGCCTGGCTCATTCTGGAGGACCAGGACAGCGCGCTTGCTGTGGTTCAAGAGAAGAGAGAGACAGTTGTTGTGATTTTTCTTTGATCAAACCATCTACCTGACATGAGTCGTTTAAGACTCTCCCCCATCGAGAGAGTTCGTGAATACATTATAAAATAATCGACATTATTTATACGGTATATAAATATATTGTATTGACATGAGCAGAGTCCTGATCGCACAGGTTGACTCTTTGTGACTCGTTGATGCCAAGCCTTAAAAATCACTGCTTGGTTTCAAACAGACAAACAGGTTATCAGACAGGGATGAACCCTGAGAGCGAGACCTGTTGTTCAGGATTTTTTTTCCGTGATTGAGCAACAAATCTCGACAATCGAACCACAACGGCGTCTCAACTAAAAAGATGCTCTACAGGCTCGTCCAGTGCGACGACTCTGTTCGGCGTCGCTCATTGGCTCTGGCGTTTACCGCGAGTGACGCATGTGGCCATGCTACATTCCTGCGTCTTGCAACAGCCGCTGTTTTTCGGAGAGGAACCTGTTTGTGTCGGGTAATCAAGGCTTGTTTTTGAGATCAGCGTCATCGCCTTGACATCTCCACTGCACTTCCTTCTTCTCTGCACAGTTGTCTACAGACAAATATTCCTTGGAGAAATTACAACTCTGGGCTCACTCCACAATGGAGGACAATAGACTCTCTCAACTCTCAATTTCAACTAAATTTAAATGTTTGCTCAGCTCCTGTTGACTTTAGGGTGTTTTTAACCTCGGGACTTGAACCAAGTGAAGTTAGCTAACAGGTGTCTCACACTCTTCTGTAACACAATCGGTTGAATTTTTATGTCGCAACACCGTCCGCAAAAAAATGCGACCGGTCTGGATCAGTTTCTAAGTGGAGTATCTACAACAAATACTACGTCTTTTGTTTTTCCCATCAATGGTCGAAGGAGAGTTATAATTAGTAATCCTATATGTGATTGTGCTCTACCTAAGACGCAATCTGATAAGTTCCTTCATTTACAGCAAGGGTGTCAAAATATTCAGAAAAGGCCACCACAGCAACATGGCCGCCGTGAGCGGGGCCGTTTGTAACCATACTGTTGTGTAGTTGTAATTATTTCGTAACATAGTAATAAATATAAACCGCTGTATTGGCTCGATGTTACGTCAAAAATCCCAAGAGGAAGAACATATTTAATGGCGCCTTCTGTGTGTGCGGCAGCCGGTGAATTAAAAACACATACAGAACAGCGCCTCCTGTGGCAGCTTGTGTGAGTTGTAAATACTCAGACTGTGAATTTCCCCATTGTAGGACGAATGAGGTACTCACTCAATCAAGGTTTAAATCTTTCATGTAAAAGTAAATACAAATACTTTAAATATGAACCACAAATATTTTCAGACACATTAAATACACTCTGAGAAGAAGTATTTTGACCTCGAAACAGCCATTACTGTTGTCTTAGTACACGTCAGTATTATTTTTCTCCTTTTGTTTTTATTTGTTGACATTTTTTCGATGTTGTGTTAAACAGTGACAGACGCTAAAAAGAAGTATTTGTAATGACCTCGTGACCGCCATTACTGTTGTCTTAGTACACGTCGGTATTATTTTTTCTTCTTTTGTTTTTATTTGTTGACATTTCTTCGATGTTGTGTTAAACAGTGACAGACGACAATTGTATTCCTTTTCAGTTGTTCCGGGGCAACTTAAAAAACGCAATGGGCCAGATATGGTCCGCGACCCTTAAGTTTGACACATGTAACACGTGATTGACAGGCTAAATAAAACGAGGGGCAAGGTTAACATAAATATATGTGCAAGAAATCAAATCGTGTAGAGAAGTGAATTTAATAAAATAGTTTTTAAAAGTTTGAAGTACTCGAAGGACAAAAAGACCCCGAAAATTTAAAAAAAAAAACGGAATTAATATGGAGATGCGGCTCTTGACAATGTTTCAGCGTAGATCTGACACAAAAACCACTTGAGTCATGTAAAGCCCTGTGCTTGCTTACATTGTCTGTGTTTAGTAGTCGAGCCAACGCCTAGCAGGTGTACAGTTTCACTCCCCTTAAAAAACGTTGTTCTCCTTGTCATTATTAATCTCCAAAAAAGAAAAAAGAAAGAAAAAAAACATAAATAAACAGACGCAGCGGTTTCATCTGATCTTAGATGCTCTGGTCAATATCCGATCAAGTGTTTTTTTGTTGTTGTTGGGTTTTTTTATGACTCTAAAACCTCCTGCTGCTGCAGCTCGGTGCTCGTTCTAGAACAAACATCGTTACTGCTTGTAGCCACAGAACTGTTGGAGCTTAGAGCAAAATCAAACACTAAACCGCCCATCCTCATCACGGGACACTGTTTTCATTCTAACAGACGCCTGCGCTTGCACGACAGGTGGAGATCCACCTGTACAGGCTGGGACATGACAGGTGAAACGAGCGCACCTTTCTCCATGGGAAACTATGATAATGACATGTCACTTTCCGCTGCGGCTGTGCAGAAACCGTCAAACTGAAGCCTTGAGAAATTAAAAAAAATTAAAAAAAAAAAAAATTCTAATATTCAAACTAGAGGCTCAGAGTTCACATGAATATCAAGACATATCATTGAAACAGCCGTGTGTCGTTTTTGGTCACAGCGTAACAGCTGTGCGATATGTTCGATATATTTACCATGTCATATTTTTATATAAGATTTTCTGTTTTAATTCCATGTAGATTTTTTTTACATTATACAAATCGAATGTAATTATCCATTGGGTAAACAATTTATTTGCATTTTGTTTTGATGTTATTTCGCTTTTATTTTTATTTTTTCACCCTGTTTTTACCTGTCATCCAGTCGCTGTGTTTCTGCAGCCGCTGTGACAAACACATTTCCCCGCAGTGTAGGATTTACAACGTTATTATGATTATTTTAATTTCTCATCTAAAAAGAAGATCGTCGAGCAGCGGGGGCAGGTCAGACCCTTCCCTGACCTCGGCGGTTAAAATATCCATGAATGTCTTGAACGATTTCAAAGATTAAAAATAAAAAAAATCTGGGAAAGATGTTTGGAAAATCCAGGAGGGAATAAGTTGTAAAAATGTAACAGTGCGAGGCTGGTGCCTGTGCAGGTGTAAAGTGGAGAGTCAGGACTACTCACTTGTCATGCTCCTGTGACATCTCTCGCTCGGTCGAACTGGACTTTCTAGTTGGTACTGAAAATCCGATCCGTCTGCTTTAGCTTGGAAAACTCCTCCGCTCACACTGGATGAGGGCCGCGGCAACAAACAAGCTGTCCCCTCCTGAGAGAACGGGTTTTGTCGGCTTTTCTCGCTTTTTGGGGCAATGCTGAGAAATCGAGGCCGGTTTTACCTGTGACAGGGCCGCGGATTGGATTACAGGTAGACGGCGGGGCGGAGCCAAGGCTGTCAATTCTGTTCCTCTGGGCTGTGATTGGATGATACGATCTGTTATACCTGCCGTAGCAACGTCGGCCAGCGAAGAAGCGCGGGTTTTATTAGCTCGGGGTTTTTGTTATTCAAATTTGTGCTTTATATATTTGTTTTTTACCAAATTTACTTGATGTAACGAAATGATTCAAATAATTAAAATCACAAGGACCATTAAGATTTGACCATTACCAGGCTGTAGTGAGTCCATTTTTTTTGTAGGACAGATTAATATCTGGCATTAGCCATATATATATATATATATATATATATATATATATATATATATATCTTTTACCTTATTAGTATTTTGGAATGTCGCAATCACCTGTAATGCATCAGGTGACTCATGTTGTGGCTTCATTTCTTCATCATCAAATTGTACTTCCTTGTTGAGTGTTCATCAAGGAAAGTGAACTCCTTGTCATGGTGACACAGCACATCACAGCACACGTCCACATGTGACCTCTGTTTTTAACCCATCACCAAAGTGAACAGTGGGCAGTGGTGTGTGGGGACGGTGCCTTGCTCAGAGCTCGAACCTAAAGCCTTCCGGACACAAGTCTGCTTCTTTAACCACGAGGCCACAACAACAACAACAACAACAGTGAGGCTTTTGACTTGCAGAGAATTTTTTTAATTTAAATGTAAAAAAAAAAAAAAAAACAGGTGGTAACATTATCTGAAAGTCATAATTGTCCACTCATTAGTCATTTCCAAAAACCAAAGACAGATACGAGTCGTTTTAGCTTGGTGATCTGAACATAACCAAAGAAATTAGCCGTTCAGTACAACGTTTGACAATATTTCCTCCTCAGAAGATTCTAGAGCTTTGAAGCAAAAATGTTGTTGTTCCACATCGAGATTTCACTGTAGTGACATCCCTTCGATAGATACGGTGAATCCTGGTTGATCCCAACCGTGCACTGCATTAGAAATACAGCGAACATACAGAGCGAACAGACTGAAACATCATAAATTAGTTCATGACATTTATGTTTGATTCCGTCTGTGAGTCTTGAGGATTTTTTTTAATGTAAACAATTCTTGTCAATTTTATTGATTATCACGTGTCCGTAGAATTAAACTGTGTTTTATTTTGTTATAACTTCAGTACAGTTGTTTTTAAATAACTCGGCTGTTCATGACTCAACTATAAAATTAACGTGCACGTCAGGTTTTTCTCTCGACTACTTGGTGTCTGTGCTTTATGAGTCCTTCACATGAATTTTTTTTTTTGTAAAACCCGTCAGGTGATTTTGTCCAGTATTAGATCAGTACTGAGACTTAGTTTTTCCTTTTTTTTTTTAATTTTAAGAATTAGTGTAGTACATTACAGTGCCGACTCCCAGATCAACTCAAAAATAACTGACTATATATAAAACAACTCACCTACTTAGCTTGTGATGATGTGTCAACACTCAGTGTGAACTTAGCGTTTTAGCATCTGTTTGACAGTCATTACTGGATCAAAGGCAAATATCTCCTGCTCTTCTTGTTGTTGTAAGATAAATATATATACAGTATATACTTATATTTCCATTTTTTTCCTAATGATATGGTAGCCTTTTCAGATCAGCATTTTCATTCGGTATGATCCTGAGTAACAGATGTGAGAAACAGACACAGTTGTTTTCAAATGCACTGCATGTATCAAATAAGTGCAGCTGATGGTTTTATCTCGACTTACATTTCTTTTAAAAATATATATCTGTTTTTAATCTTTTCATCTGGGTTCTATTTCAACAACAGTTTGAAGTCAAACCGACTCCTGGTGACTTTTCTCAGTAAGAAGATTAAGATAAAATAAAGCCAGGCAGATTATAATGGTACGTGATCAAAAAGAGAGACATTCTGGGTGAAAACAAACATCTTTGTTTGCGACAGAGGAAGATTAACTGATGCTATCAGCAATATTCAAAGTTTCCCCCCAACACACACACACACACACACACACACACACTGAGTAAGAAACTAACTGTAACTGTAATCCTCCCCTCCCCCCCATCCCTCTCCTCTCTCTGTCAACTTCCTCACTTCGCGACTTCTGTTGAAAACACAGCCGTGACGTCAACTCTTTCTTACACTGTTTTCTTTGTCTTGACATTAACCTTCAACTGAGTAAAACTGACTTTTTTATGGCAAATGTATTTGTTCTGTTCTGTTTTGTTTAATCTGTGTTGATTCTACAGACTCCGACCCTGTAGAAAAAGTCATTAAAGAAAAGTCTTAAAGTAATGAAACAAACACACACACAAACACACACACACACACACACAGCCTCCTCCTCCTGGATCCTGGTTTACTGTTTGTTTATCTGAATGGAAAGACACCTGCCTCTCCTGAAACCTTGTTTGTGTTTGCACTGAGGACATGGGATAGTGTGTGTGTGTGTGTGTGTGTGTGTGTGTGTGTGGAAAGGCTGGGAAAATAGAATGGACTGAAAGTGGGCCTGGCGAGATGCTGCTGACTCAACAGAGACTAATGACACCAAACCATGGGGGGAAAACAGGTCTGGATCAAAGCGTAACATCAAACCTGAGAACAAAAAAATCTCCCTGAGTTTCTCAGAGAAAGTGAGATGTTGTCGTCCTTGATTTACGTCTCCTTGATTTGAATTTAGATCTGGACATTTCAACAGTCAACCTGCATAAAAGTGGCCAAACTGAAGAATGATAGTTTTCAGCATTAAAGTGTAGCTGTTAGCTGTTAAACAAAGGTTAGCTCGCAGTGAGTACTAGTTACAACAACCTCGTACTTCAGTCATGCTGCGTGTGCTTTGAATTTAGGTGTTAAAAAGGTCAGACACGAGCTACACTCTGTAGTTTGAGGGTGTTTTCTGCAGGCGGACAACAACAAGGCAACAGTGTGACAACAACAACACAACCAAGTGTGGCTGGTGGTATCCATCTTCTTAATCTTTATTATCATCTTCATCATCATCTTTATCATCATCTTTATCATCATCTTTATCATCATCATCATCATCATCATCATCATCATCATCATCATCATCATCATCATCATCATCATCATCATCATCATCATCATCATCATCATCATCATCATCATCATCATCATCATCATCATTATCTTTATCATTATCTTTATCATCATTATCATCATCTTCATCTTCATCTTCCTCATCATCATCCTCATCCTCATCCTCATCCTCATCCTCATCCTCATCCTAATAATCATCATCATCATCATCATCATCATTATCTTTATCATTATCTTTATCATCATTGTCATCATCTTCATCTTCATCTTCCTCATCATCATCCTCATCCTCATCCTCATCCTAATAATCATCATCATCATCATCATCATCATCCTCCTCCTCATCCTCACCTTCATCCCATCCATTATCATCATTTTCGTGCATATTTTATTATTATTTTCCTCTACTCCTGTTGCCTTCATCTCTAACACTGATTACATCGTTCTTCAGGAGTCAACTGTGCTCCATGTTGGCAGAAGTTGAACCCCCAACCCACCAACAGGGCACAGAGAGGCCAGAATGGGTTTAAAAAGCCGAGGGCAAAGTGGTGATCTCTTGATGACAAAGACATCGGTGATAAAAAAAAAAGAAAGTGAAATCCAAACTTGGGTTCGTGCAGCGTGAACGATCACCAAGTGTCTAACAGTTTCCAACAACTCTAACCCTCCAGGATGTTGTGTCATCTTTGTGAGTTTACCACTGAGCCACCGCTCGGCCATTCCCGCTGATGGACGGCAACTGTCTTTTAAACGCTCTCCACTCTTCTCACTCCAGGCATCAAAACGGGATGGAAATAAGATGCAAATGTGATGTACTCTGTGGATGCGTGTAAGCGCTTGTTACTGCTGGGAGGTGTGTGTTTGGCTTGGGCTGGGGTTTGAGTGCAGTGTCGGTGTAACGGTGAGCACCTGAAGCTCTGGGAGCTGACAGTGAAGCTCTTTGTTGTTGGGTAAACAGGGGAGCAGTTCCATATGAACAATGCTGGAGCTGTAATGTGTTTGAAGATCATTATCACCTGTTGATCGTTTTCTCCTTGAATGTTAACCGACATCGCAAACCGTGGCCCAGCCGGGTGTTGGAGCTGCTG